GCAAAGGAACATAGGAACATAGGAAGTGGATTGGGCATACGCTATATGGCGGCTTGGAATTGGCAGGGTCCTGGCTCAGGACATTACGCCTCGAAAGTTGCCAGCAGCCAGCTGAGCCACTTGAAGCAATTTATGAAGCATTTTACTTACTTAGCTGCTGATTTACTCCCGCCTCCTTTTCTGTGTACGAGTGTGTGTGTGTGTGTGCCCCATCCTGCGAAGGACCTTCAGCCCAGCACATGTGCTTGCAATTTTTCTATGAATATGAAATAAGTCCCTCCTTCGCCTGTGCGTAAATAAACAAACGGAGCAGCAAAAGCCGGGACACTAGTGCCAGTGCCAGTGCCAGCAAGGACTCCCAGCATTCGCATTCGCATTCGCATTCGAGTCCTGCGATCGAGTGTTTACCCAAGGCGTTTCCAACTCCGAATGAAGTACACAAAACGCACACACTTTGCGACTGCCAGGCAGCTAACGAAATTTAATGTGTGTTTTATGCAAAATGGGATCCTGGAAGCCGGAAGAACAGCGCTGGATGGCCCCATAAATCCTCATCCGTTTCCCTAGCCCACAAATAACCATCAAGGTCGGGGCCACAGCGAAATTCGATCAATTGCCAGACAACAATGATGCTGTTTCTATACTACACCGGCAAAAATTAGGTGCCTCTGTTTATGAGCTATCCGCATTACTTGCGAAATTAAATTTATTTACAGCCAATGCCCAATTCCTCAGCATTATAAATTGAGCAACATAGCCAAGTGATATTTGCTTCACTATTTCCCTGAGTGTACTGCCAAGCGGGGGAGCCGGAGAATTAATCATAATTGCTCAAAGCCAAAGGGAGGATGCCAGGACTCTCGGTTCGTTAGGGCATCAGCCGCCGTCTGGGCTCGAGTTGCTGTCTATCCGATGATTTGCCAATTTCGTCTGGCGCTCTCTATTTGGCTTGTTTACATAAAAATATTGCCAGGACGAACACGACAGGCGATGATGACGACGTCGATGGCTGGGGCCTGGGCAAAACATAATGAGGCAGACAACGGCCCAGACGACGAAAATGGCTAAAAGTCGTGGAGCCAGACTTTCCTGGCTTTGCAGTTTGTGCCGAATGCAAGTGGTGGAGTGAAAAAAGCTGCCAGACAAAGTGGCAAACAGAAGTAAACGCGTGACTTTCACTTTGATGTCGCAGCGAGGAGAAGGATATCACCAGTACAGCAGACAAGTGTCGATTTGACCAAAGCTAGTTCTTCATCCCGCAAAAATCCTGCGCTGTTTGCATAGACAAGCACGTGCCATTTTCCTGGTGTTTCCCCTCTTCAGCAGCTGCAAAAGCTGCAAAGTAAGCAATCAGACGGGGAAATTCAAGTGTGCTGCGCTGTCCGAAAACAAGACATTAGGGGCTCCATTCAAGGATATCTGCTCCAAGCGCAAGCAAATAGAAAAGGTGCAACCTGACCAGGGCAAACACAAATTCCTCAGCTCGAGTCAAATGCAGAAACTTGTTGGAAAAGTGGGAAATGCCAGTCAGCTTGCAGGTGACACACCTTGAGGCGCTGCAGGACGAGATAGCGAAGCTGGGACATGGAAATTTTCGGGACAGTGAGACAGGCGGAAGGAGGCTTATCATGCCAAGTGAAATGAGTGCCACGGGCCGCAGGACATGTGAAGGGGCTGATGTCCTGCCACTTGCACTTCGCCGCAGAGCAGACAACTGCAAGATAATGAAGCGTTAACTTAAAGAAAAGTGAGCTGGGAAATATAGAAATGTTTGCGCAGACTTTGCGATAAAAGTTGGTCGGGCCAAATTGTGTGTAAATACTTAAAAAGTCGTTAGGATGGCCAAAAGAAGCGGTCAGAGACACTGCAAAACGCCGATGGAAGGGCCGGGAAAGAAAAGGCAGCCAAGTGGAAGGCTTTTAATGAGCAGTTGACGTCATCATCATTAAAAATGTGCAAGCTGCGATTGAGATGATTGATTGGGTTCTGTTTGCTCCTTTCAGCCGCCATTAAGTGCGCCTGAAGGCGCGCTGCCATAAATTTGCTTAATCAAACTATTTAGCCAGCCGCTGGATGTAGATGTCACGCATCGGAAGTCAAGCTGCTGCAGCTCCATTACGGTTACGGGCACAAGGTCTCCCGGATTCCGGACTCAGAACTCAGGACTCAGAACTCAGGACTCCGCGGAGGAGGACGCACACTGCGCCGTAACGAGCGCCTCACATGTGTTGCATGCTTTTAGGCGCTGCTCAGACGACACACATAATCCTAATTAATTGCCGGCATCGGCATCGGCATCGGCATCAGCATCAGCATTCAGGCGGCAGGATCCATCCAGGAGCCCCATCCGCCGGGAATACGCAGCGAATGCATTCTGGCAGGTGCATGTGAGCACTTCGTGCGCGCCATTTACCCACCGAGTGGTGGGGCGGCCTTGGGGGTGGTGCACTGAGAGAAAGGGCCACCCAGAACGCACTTGCCACATTTCAAGTAATCAGGGAAACTATTTCATTGCAGGTTGCTTTGCACACAAGTAACTAACGTTGGGCAGTAATATGCCTAAAGTCTGGGCCATGCCTTCCAGTGTAGCTGTCATCTCCTCCGATTCCCGATGCCCCTCGTTTCATGCCAGTGCGCCATTATTTCCTTTTGATTTGCTTTGGCTGCAAAAGCCGTGGCGTGTTGAATGGCGTTCTAGCGAGGGGCAAGCAACGCATTTCATGCACTCGGCTGAGCTTTCGAGTTGCTTAACGCGTTTGATGTTTGCCAGGAGCTCTGGCAGCTACATCTACCCCACGCCAGTGGCCCTCCGTCCATAAAATTTAATGCATCCTGCGAGTGTGACAGCCTGGCGGCCTACGAATCCCACATAATCCGCATGAGACATCGCTGTAGCTTTTGAGCCAGCCAAGTGATGTGAAAACCCGTTGTCAGCCGAGTTGTAATTGGGTTGCCCGAATGGAATTTAATTTCTGCATCTTTAAGAGCGCCGCGGCGTGTTGATATTTGAAGACCCGGAAAGCTGCAATTGAGCTGCCCGATCATCCCCAAGGGGAAACAGAAGGAAGAGAAATGGCAAAAGTTTTCCACTCCGGCTGGGGGGCCATTAAACCAGCCACAATAATCGATGCTCAAGTCGAACATCGAAGACCAGCTTCTGGGCCTGGCTAATTTTCTTGTGTCAAGGGAAAAGGCTTGGGAAACTGGAAAAAGGGACGACTGACTGCTGCTGCTGCCGCTGCTGCTGCTGCTCGCCCCAAGTATGCAACACAATTTTAATTAGTTTGGAAAAGTATTTTAATTTTTGCAATTTGAGTGCCAGAAAAGGAGAAATCTTGGGACCCACGTGCCCTGCGGCTGGCAGCCCCAAAATATTTTTAAACTCCTCCCTTTAATGATTATTAACATTATTAGTTGTAATGAGCGTCGTCAGCGCGTTTTAAAGTTCGCCATTGAGGCGTGGCAAATGGCAACAGAAATTTGCGTGTTGCCGGCCATTCGTAAACCAAAAAAAAAAAAAATTAAATCACCAACTGGCGCGCCAAAAAAAAAAAAAAAGGCGCGGGCTAAACGCAAAGAAAGTTTAAAAAGTTGGAGAAAAATTTTCGCAATTATTTTTCTGTTTTAATGTAATAGTGAATTCAGCCTTTTTATAATTTTGCGTCCTTTTTGTTCGTTTCTTTCTACGCTTTCAAACAAAAAAGTTTGTTTAAACTATGTGGACTGGAATGGTTTTTGCCGGACGGAGTCTAGCGGTTGCGTCGGGCACGCCGGAAAGTATGCTTTGATTTTTAGCCCGTCCATTGCGTGGAATGCAGTGTTCGAATTGTTTGGTCCCTGGTTTTGTGTGGCCTTCTCTCGGCCATTTATATACATACATATATATTTTATTTTTGGATATGCCAAAGTTTTCAAATTAAAGGCTCGGGCTTTGACCGAAAGTTTTGCGGCTGTGGGCGGCTCTTTGCCATGATTAGTGATTGAGTTTGAGTTTGGTTCTTGGACTTACGCAAAAGCAGGCGGGCACTTACCTAGAAAGAGAGCAGAAAAAACGCCATAAAGTGTTAATTAAAGTTCGAGTAACGGGGAAAAATTGTATGAGGCAGGACATTAAAGGATTCAGATTATCAGTACAATTTGCGGCCCGAATTCCCTGGGCAACTAAGAGTCTGTTTTGTGAGCATCCCGAACTTAATTACACACATCTCATTTGTCGCACACAAAAACCACTACCCAAGCGCTTCGCATGGGACTCGGTCTGGTCGTCTGGGAAATGGAAAACCCAAAACGAGACGAGAGACGACACATGACATATTGCAGAAACCGGAGAAGAAGGCAGGAGGCAGCAGGCAGAAGGCAGAAGGATCCTGTGAGCCGTGCCCCCGGCACAGACTTTTGTTTATATGTCATAAAAATTACTCATACGTTAATAATTTAAACGGATGGCTGTTGATGATGGGTCACAGGCGTCTGCAAATTTGCTTTGGCCAGGACTAACTGCGAATCAATACGAAATGAAAACCAAATAAGCGACGTCCTAACGTCCTTTCGTCCTGCGCATCCATGTCCCTGATCAAACACAAGGCCATCACCTCAAGCTGGTTTGCTTCGATGGCCGATAAGTTTCGCTATCATGTCGGCAAAATTCATAACCATGTCCATGACAGACATTGAGCATATTATCTGATGTCTGGGGGCTGGTGGCTCTGTGCGGTGGCAAATTCATTATTTCATCAATAAAACAACACAGCAATCAATATGGTGAGCTGTCCATTTTGTTTGCTTTGGCCATTCGGGCCGAGCGATACTCTTAGATAAATAGACGGAATATGTGTGCAATACATGAATTTATTCATGATGGAATATTAGAAAGCGGCTGTAACATTTGCTTTTATAGGTCTTGTGAGCCTCTCTTTTCCACGAATTTCCTTAGCTGCGATTTAAGGTAGTACTTCTTTACTCTTTTGTACATTCAAATTGGGTGTAATAATGCTGTTTATTTACATTTTAATTAATAATTGTATTTGTAAGTTGGCATCTTCACACAATAGCAGCTCATCTGGATCTCTTCGCACTTCCGTTTTTCTGGTTACTCTTTTACTGGCGGTCATCTGTGCAATTCCTTCCACCAATTTCAGTAAAGGGATACAAAAAGGACGAACCCCTGCAGAGATCGTCCCTTTTGTAGCCCCGTTTGCCGAAAGGGCTAGAAGTGATGCGATGGAGCCAGTACACACCCAGGTAATCGTTGATGGCCAGTGGCTTCAGGTCGGGAAGCAGTTGGCGAATGAAGAAGTTGGTCCTCATGGGCAAGGTCTTGTAGTTCAGAGGAACAGGCCCGGGAAAAAGGGACCACTGACGCGGATTGAAAAACCGCTTCCTGTAATCCAGGCAGCGGTCGTCTTCCAATCCTCGAAGTGGTCTTCTCCTGGGCCTTGATAGGGCAGATCTTAAGAAGATGCCCAACCCTTCGAGCTGAAAGCTTTTCCTCTGTTGAAGTCCCTTGTTTCGCTTCGCCTTGTACTCCTTGTCCCAAAACTTCTTTATGAGTCCCCGTTCGCCTTGTTTAAAAAGCCACTTCTTAACTTCATTCGTTTCCTGCCAGTTTTGAGTGTTCGCTTCTAGGCATATTTTTCGTCTGCCAAAGGACTCATACCATTTTCTAGCTTTTGTTGATGTAAACTTGTCCATATTAGCATTACCCTTTTTCGAAAGTCCAACCTTCTTTTTTAGCTTTCCTAATGGGCTGACATTTTGCTCTTTTTCGGTCAATTTCTGCTTGGACTTTTCATCGGCGCTTTTCTTTTTAGAATCCCTATTCTGGTCCGAACCTTTCTTTGGATCTTTTGGATCTTTTCCTTTATTGTTATTTTCACACTTCTTCTTTAGGGCGAAATCAGCACATCTCTTTCTTAGGGACAATTCTTCGTGCTGCCTTTGTTTTTCGTGCAACGCGCATTTCTCTTTGAGCTTTTCTTCCGAACATTCTACCATAAAATCTTCTTTCGCGCACTTCTGCTTGAATTCTTCTTCTGCACAGAGTTCCCTAAATTCTTCCAATGCACATTTTTCTTTTAAATCTTGCTCTGCACATTTTTCCTTCAATTCTTCTTCTGCACATTTTTCCTTTAATCTTTCCTTGGCACATTTTTCCTTCAATTCTTCTTCTGCGCATTTTTCTTTTAGGTCTTCTTCTGCACATATCTCTCTTAGCTTCTCTTCAGCACATTTCTCCTTTAATTCTTCAATGGCACACTTTTTCATCAGTTCTTCATCAGCACATTTACTTTTGAATTCTTTCTCTGCACATTTATTTTCGGAATATGGATTCTTTCGATTTTGCCTTCTGCCTGTCATGCTGCCTGTCTTGTCTTCTGCTAACTTTTTTTGCAATTCTTCTATTACACGTTTCATTTTTATGAATAGCTGTTGCTCGTATTTATCAGACTTATTGCACTCTCCAGATATATTTTTCAGTAAGTCTTCAACAACATTCTTTCCTTCTGGACATATTTTCTTCAGACACTCATTGGTGCAGTTTTGTTTCTGACCGGCCGTGCATAATTCTTCTTCAATGTTTTGGCAAGGACCTTCTTTAATAGATTGCTTCTTCAGAGACTCCCCTTTGATCACCTCCTTTATATGTGTGCACTGCTTTATAATAATATCTACTTTGGCTAATATGCCTTTCTCCCTGTTTTCCAACATTGATGACTTCGAGCGCCTGCAATCATCCTTTTTCTGACTCTCACAAAATTCCAGAAAATCTGCAACTAATTTATTAACATTGTCCTTATCCTCAACATGCTTATTGCAGATTGCACTACCTTCCGAATCCTTCGGCGTTCTATTCTCCACTAGAAACATGCACCTAGCCATTAATTCTGCTACTCGAAATTTCAGCTTGTCTTTGTCATCTAATATTGTAAAAAACTTTGAGACGTCGTTTTCTTTCTTGGACTTTATGCCTTCTTTGTGGCAATCCTTTTCGGGGCATTGACATGATCGTGTTTGGCCAGCCAAGTTTGCAACATTCGAAGGTGGACAAGGCATTTTTGAAATACATTCCGAATTATTGGGTGGCTTAAGTTCAGCTGTAAATTGTATGTTTTCTGAACTATTATCCGAGTGTGCCGATAGACTTTTGTGCGTTCTGTTCTCAAAAATGTCATGGAAGCCCGTCAGTTTTTGACTATCCGGCTCGATCATTTTGAGTGCTGACTCGTTTTTCTGACCACCGGAATTGTGGGAACCTGATTCCATGATATTTTCGTTGACCCTCTTAAAATCCACTTTCTGTTCTGCAGAAGATAAAGGCACCTGTGGTTCAATGCATACCTCGCACATATTTTGGTTATTCATTTGACTCACACTTAGTTGGTCAATGCAGTTTTTCAGTTCCCCGGGCTTGGTTTTAAACGGTGTAGTTTCTCTAAGAGATGGAAGGCGACCCTTAGTTTCCTTCTTGGCCTTACTTATGAGCTGCTCCTCACGTGCCATTATTACTTCCAGTGAATGTGGTTGTGTTGATTTGTCCTGTGAGGATATTCCCTTGCCTTTCGGCCTTCCAGCACTTCTGGATTTAGTTTTTAGCGGAAAAAATACATCCTGGTCCAGCGCATTCACATCTTGCCTCTGGGGATTGGATGAGTCCTCGAAGAAAGTCCAATCTATCGAGTCGTCTTTATACTTGGCCTTTGGAGCTTTTGGCTTTGCCCTTAGCTTCCTTTGCATAATTGGCCTTTTAGATTTATAGTGATAGTGCTGCATTAGATCCTTGTTCCCAGAGTGATATCTCAGGCGGTCGGCATCCTTGCCCTCCTGCAATTGCTGTCTTACCTTTCTACCCTTTGCCATGAGCATGGTAACAAAATTCCTGAATGTTCGTTTGGGTTCCTGAAACTCGAGGTATGCCGCCTTATCATCAATATATGAGCTGTAAGAGGGACTCTTCGAGTATTTTTGTTTGGGAGACCGCCTTATCTGGTTAATCCTTTCGTTTTTCTTTATTCCCTTGTCTAACCCGTCAACACCCTCGGTCATCAGTTCCTTCAGGCGATTGCTGACCTTGCTATTGGATCGTTCCTTAAAATGCCGAGCTCGTTCCCATACGTCTGCGCGAGATTCCCTTCTGCCCCTGCCCGATTCCTTGTGGTAGAGGCGTCCTTTCTGACTGATAAATAGGCAGTTGCCAGGCTGTTCGTATCCACAGACTTTGAGGCTGTGAACTTCGCCCACAATGCGCACCTTCTGTGGAACCTGTCTTATCGATGATGAAGAGCCCGTTCGGCTGAGATCGCTGGTGCGAATGTCGTAGGACATTGGAGGGTCGTCCTGGAAGAAGGTAGGCGATGACTGCTTACTAAATGGAGATCCATTGCTCTGGACCAGTGGCCAGGGCTGGATGAATGGACTGGGTTGATGACAGACCCACAGTCGTTTTAGCGGCAAGTTTATGCACTTGCGAAACATTCCAAGGACAACGATTGCTGCGGAAGAGTCCTTCTGAGTGCTGCGGTTGCCAATGAAATTTAGAGGGTTGATAAAAAAAAAACTAAGGCCAAGTTTACGTGGGGGCAGTCACGGGAGATTTTATTATAAAACTAAGCAAAGTGAAATATAATTCATGACAGCATCGAGTGCGAAACACATGATGGGTTTTCACCGAAGCACTTAGTCTAACGAAGGCCATGTGGACAATGATGCTGATGGTCTGGGCGTCCACTAGAAAGGCAACGGGGCCACAGGTGATCGTATGTATGTACCACACGCTTTTCACAATACCCCTAACTTTCCATTGTTGTCGTGCGAATTGACCAAGACCACGGTGACGGTGGCAAGGACGATAGTCCAGTTGCTACAGTCGATTACCTGTTCTGGAAGTCTGGAATCATATATCTAGGCAAATCGATCCTGGCATAGGAAATCCGCTGCATCAACTGAAGGACAAGCGGCCTTGACGACCGCCGTGGTCCTTTAAGCCTTTCCCTTGGGCAAGCAATGATAATCTGGGGTCCTTGATAGCGCAGTTTAAAAGTGATCCACCTGTCTGAAAAGTGAATTATAATAGTTTCAAGTTATAGGTATACCAAGACTTAAGGCCGTTCCGCCTTTAAAAGGGATTTTGGCGATAGGTTTAGTTGGGCGGCGTCTTCTTTTTTTCCTCCGCTTCGGCGGCTTTCTCCTTCTGATCGAACTCATCACACTCTTTCAAAACCCTATCTTCCTCGCATTTTTTCCTGCGCTCTTCCTCTTCCGCTTTCTTCATTTGTTCTTCCTTGTTGTTCAGCTCTTTTAGCTTACAGTTTAGTTCCTTTTCTTCGTTCTTAAGCGACTCCAGTTTCTTTTTCAGTTTCTCGCATATTTTCTTTTTGGCTTCTTCGGCGCGTTTTATCTTTTGGAGTTCCTGTTCGCATTTCTCTTGTATCTCTTGTTCTTCGCATTTTTTCTTTTTCTCCTCCTCTTCGCATTTCCTCTTCTGTTCTTGCTCTCTGCATTTTTTCTGCTGCTCGTCCTCGCATTTTCCTTCTTCGACCCTCTTTATTAAAATTTGCTCCCTTTGCATCAGTTCTTTGCGTTTTTTCCTCACCTCGCATAGCTTTTTATAAGCTTTCTCTGTGCACTTTCTTTTTATTTCCTCATCGGATTCTCTTTTGCATTCTTTGTTTTCGCATTTCTTTTTATGTTCACAATCGGCTTTCCTTATATCTTCTTGCGTTTTCACTAGAACTTCGCATATTTTCTGTCTTGCTTCAGCTTCACATTTCTTAATTTTCTCCTCCTCTTCTCGCTTTTTCTTTCTCTCTATTTCATTGCACTTGCTTTTTTGCCTTGCTTCTGCGCATCTTTTCTTCATTGCACACTTTTCGATATTACCTTGCAGTTCCTTAATCTGGCCCTCCTTACTTTTTTCTTCCTCTTCGCAGGACTTCTCGATCATTTTCTTCACTTCCTCAGAGGCTTCGCTGAAATCTACGTCATTCTTTTCGGCGAGTTTTTGAATAGTGGGGCACGCCTCTTTCCACTTCTGTTGAACGCAGCTTTCTCCACACTCCTTTTCTGCCTCGCACTTATTCTTTTTCTTCGGCTCTCCAAAGGCGTCGGCACACATCGTCTTGATCACCATCTTGCGGCACTTCTTCTTGATTTGCGCATTAAGACAGTCTTCTATGGCAGCCACATCAGTCTTTTTCTTCTCCTGGGCTTTGCATATATCCTTCCATTCTTCAAATACGCACTCTTCCATCTTCTGCTCGTATGTAGATTTCTTAGCGTCTGCTTTGGAACATTTCGGTTTCTCCTTGGCCTTCTTTGGGCACTCCTGCTTCTTGGTTTCTTTGTGTTCGTCCTTTGCACGTTCAGCTTTAGGATCCTTTTTGGGCTTATCACAAGCCTTAACTTTGCAGTTTCCCTTGGGTGCTCCCTTACAGCTGTCGATTATGGCCTTCTTCTGAGACCTCTTTACTGCTTTCTTCGCGGACTTCTTACATTCCGCTGTCTTATCCTCTTCCGAATCATCCTTACACTTTTCTTTCTCTTTCCGACACTCTTTCTCCAACTCGGCTTCTAAGAGCTTGGTGGTATCTGCTATGCATTTCCTAAGCGTTTCTGATTCCTTACACTCGGTCTGCTCCCCTCTGGGCTCCTTGCAGCCTTCCGCCGAGTCTCCCTTGTTTTTGGCCGGACAGGCCTTCATTAACTTCTCGATCTTCTTGGCCTTTATCAGCCGCTCGTAGCGGAGCTTGAGTTCCTGCTCCCTACAGTACTTCTGCATCACGGCCTTCAGACAGACTCTCTTGACGCCCATCATCACGCAGTCCATCATCTCCCCCATGGCCTTTTGCTCCTCCGGCGTCATGCACTTCATTTTCGCCCTCAGCGCCTTCGACTTGACCTCGATGCACTTCTTCAACTGGCATTTAACGCGGTCGGCATCCTTTTTGGCCGCCTCCTTCTTGTAGGCCGCCTGCTTTTTCTTCATGGCGAGTGCCTTTTGCTCCCTCACACACTTGTAGACATCGCCGGCCATGAGTGGTGGCTCACAGTAGCTGCGGAGCTGCCATTTGATAGCCAAGCCCATGGATCCGCGGAGCTGAGGAGCGGACATCCGCGTGAGCAGGCAGCCGGCGAATCTGGAGCTCATTGGTAAAAACCCGTGCCTAGGCCCCCACGAACATAAATTTAAAAACAAAAAATTTAGATTGTCGAGTTTTTAAAAAAATCGAAATTAGATCTAATTTGTGGGCCCTGCGTTCGAAAATTAACTACATGAATTATTGTCGAAAATGGAATACTTGCTTCTGAAAACATATTTGGCTTTGACCATATTCTTAATAAAGCTGGTATTGTTGCAGCACTAAGCAGCTAGTTACCAAATGAAGAAGGTTGGGATCTCGTTTCCTAGGCACAATGGAAACTCTCTACCTGCTGGCGTCAACAATTTTCCAATCTTTGCTCAAACCGCAGAAATGACAACAACGCAGAGGAGCCACAACCACGACATAGTTACACACACATCCCATCGAGGGGCCAACGGCAGACAAACACTTTTGTCGAACATAAAATCGAGCACAACTTAATTAAATGTTAAAAGCGCGACCGCAGCGCGTCTGTGGCAACCAAAGGTGTGAATACGAAGGGGTTGCTGGTGGGGCAGGGGTGGGCATTTCCGGTTTGGTGGGGCGGCAAGGGGCGTTGGAGGTTGCAGGTTGGAAACGCCGTTATCACACCGAAGAAGACGCTGACAGACGCTAACTTCATTTTCGGGGTACTGCTTCAAATTAGCAAACCTGTCAACTGTCAGTGTTTGTGAGTTGAAGTGCGGCCAGAAGTATGTGGGGCGGGTGGTTGGTGGTGGAAGGCGTGGGGCACGGCCCCAGGCGAAAGGCAAGACAATGTGCCTCGCCTGTGCTTCAACACCTTGCAGCAGCTCCTCAGCCCCTGCCCACCGCCCTCCCTTCCTCGGCAAGGAAGTTGCTCTGCGAACTTTGCAGTCTATACAGAAGAGGCCTCCATGCGCGTGTGTGGGTGTGTGTGTGTGTGTGTCAGTGGGGGTGTGCGCGGTGAATTATGGCATGTCTACTTCCGCCACCTGCCCCCCATTGCGTTGTTTGTAATTTGTTAATTTCCCGCATTTAGAAATTAATTTTCACTTCATGCGCCGCCAAGCAGACAACAGTAGACAGGTGAGTTCGAGTTGGCCTACCTTGGCAGCACTGTCGCGCATAAGTGTGCTTTAACTTTCTGCCACACGCACACACGCGCGCACACACACACATGCACATGTATGGCGGCATTACGAACTTGCACCGCAATTACGAGTGCCACCCACTCAGCCCAACCAATGGGCCAACCACCCAGCGCGCTCATTGCGTATTTAAATTCCTTTATGTTGTCATTAATTTCTGCAACTTGTTCGGCAGTGTCGCTGTTAATTTTTAAGCGAAAGCTTTGCCCGAGCAGTCTGCCATGTGTTTGACACGTTTACATTTTAATTGCGCACATGTGCGCGGTGGCGCCAAATGTGAAATGGGTCTGCGGAGTGTAAAACTTTAATTGCTTTATTATGTCGGCCAGCAGGCAGGTGGCAAACATCCTCGGATCCACGGAGAATCACAGCGTCGCAGCCCACTTTCGCGAAGAAATGGGCCAAGGCACTTCAATGGGCCCAAGGGCTACAACACACTGCTAAAAAGATAGTGCAGGGCTATATTGGGTGTAACAAAGAAATGTCTTTTTAAATTGACTCAAGTAGTCTCAGGTTAATATGTAAGCTCCTGCACTTTCCAGTTTTAGTCTCACTCCTAAGTCGTACTATTCAAAATTGAATGTTATAGGTTCCCGCTATTCCGTTTTAAGTCATGGTGTTTATGGGACGTCATCTCTCACGATCTCTCGTGTACCAGCTAAAGCAATCCAGTTTGAGCCGATTCTTCCTAAGGTCGCCAACTAATTTGTCCGTTTACTTGGGACAACCAAGGTTTCTTGGCCACAAATCCCACGCATATGATGATTTAAGCTCGAAAATTCGAATGAAAACTAATTGCATGAGCCATGAAAGGAACATGGTAATGAAAGGTGATCAATCAGGGCCGAAAAAATCCTACTGCCACCGCAGGATCTACAGACCATTCCAACTTAAAATCCGTGCTCTTAAAATATGCCTGAACCAACAACGCTCGTTTTGCAAAGAGGCCGAGGAAGATGGATGCTATTGCAAAAAGCTGGAGGATGAGAGCTGCGCTCTGAAACCCTTGCCAAAAGCGGAACCCAAAAAATGCTCAAGGATATCCAGAAAGAGGAAGCATTTACTTGAGCAGAAGAAGAAAGCGGAGGAGGCTAAAGCCCCACCACAATCGCAGTGTGAAGCAAATTTAGACGAAGCTGTTGACGAGCTGAAGTACAGTTGCATGCTAGCTTCCGAGAAGAAAGACTGCGAGCGCAGGCAGTACAAGGCCCTCTGCGAAGAATTGAGAAAGTCGAAGCAGCAGGGGGATCCCAAGTCCGTAGATTCTCTTGTAAAGTGCATGCTTTCTGGCATAAAGAAGGCGTGTGTTGTTCACGCCGAGAAGATTGTCTACCAGCAGAAGTTCGCTGAACAAATTGCGGCTGAGGAGGCGGAGCGAAAGGAAAGGGATAAGAAAGTGGGAAAGCCTCTCGACTGCACTAAGCCAAATGAGGAGGATGACACAATTGGCGCAAAGAACAAGGCGGAGAAGAAGAAGGCCAAGGAGAAAGCCGAGCTGAAACGATTGCTCAAGGAAATAAAGGCCAAGTGCAAGAAGCAGCGTGAGGAAGCTGAGCGCAAGAAGAAAGAGGAAGAGGAGCTAAACAAGAAATGTAAAGAAGCAGCTGCTAAGAAGAAATGTGAAGAACTGGAGGCTAAAAAGAAATGCGAGGAGGCGGCGGCCAAAAAGAAATGTGAAGAAGCGGCTGCTAAAAAGAAATGCGAGGAGGCGGCGGCCAAAAAGAAGTGTGAAGAAGCGGCTGCTAAAAAGAAATGTGAAGAAGAAGCAGCCAAAAAGAAATGCAAGAAACCAGCACTGAAAAATAAATGCGAAGAATCAGCGGCCAAAAACAAATGTAAAGAGGCAGCTGCTAAAAAGAAATGTGAAGAAGCGGCTGCTAAAAAGAAATGTGAAGAAGAGGCTGGTAAAAAGAAATGCCAAGAGGCAGAGGCAAACAAGAAATGCGAAGAAGCCGAAGCCAAAAAGAAATGTGAAGAAGCGGCTGCTAAGAAGAAATGCGGAGCAAACGACGCAACTGTGAAAAAGTGTGAGGCAGATAAAAAGAAGAAATCCGAAGAGGCCGAGAAGAAGAAGAAAAGCGAAGAAGCCGCTCTTCAGAAGAAATGTGCGGAAGCCAAGAAGAACAAGGCATGTGAAGCCGAGAAAAAGAAAAAATCTGAAGAAAGCGAACGGAAGAAAGACTGCCATCTAGCCGAATTCAAAAAAAGGTGTAATGAGCTGAAGAAAAAGATTGAAGAGGCAAGATGCGAAGAGAAGAATGTCAAGTAGCCAACCATAGCCATCCGAAGAAAGAAGCCATCCCACGGAGACGTGGGAGATGAAGTCCCTATCCTAAATATATTTAAGCTGTATTAAAGTTAAATACTGAAATCAAGGATTTGTCTCTTAACTAGAGTTGGCTGATTAAAGTTGCTTTCAATACCAAAGCAGGAAAGCTATTTCAGACTGGCTTTATAATCGGCCGGATAAACCACTATTGTTCGGTCGAGGAAATGCCAACAGACCCGCTAAGTACAGGCTTGCCGAAGGACAATAATGATGAGGAGTGGGCCAAGAAGGCCGAGGAGGCCGACAAACAATTGTGCCCGCTTGTCTTGTTTATTGTCATCCATCATGCCAAGGCCCCTGGTGTTCGGGGAGATCGTCTTCAAGCCCCGATTTGTGGCTACCATCCGGCAAAGGAGGTGGCAAAGGGAGCCGGAGCCTAACGAGTGGAGTTGACTCATTCAGACGAGTCTCCTCCAACCAGACCCGGCCTCATTTAGCCGTTTTGCTGCGCATTTGCCATTGTCAACGATTCTGCCACCCGTTTGCGTTGCTCTTGTAACATTTCCACAAGGCTCTTTTTTTCCGATGCAGCTGTGGCTGTTGCAGTTGCTGTTGCTGTTGCTGCTGATTGTTGCACAAGGATTTGTCAAGGATAAAACACTCGAGGGCAGCCAGTCGACATTGTCGTAGTTGTCGTCACCGACGCTGCTTCATCATGGTTACGATTATGATTATGTAGCGACAGTTTTTGTCCTGGCCCGGCTGAAAGGCATTCGGTGCGGAGGTCCTTTCACACGTGTTTCCCTGTGCAATGGTTATCGATTTTCCGCTGGGAATGCAATGCATCCGTATGCGATGCTAAGTGCAGTCCGTGCGGCCTTGGATTTCCCCAGGACATTGCACTGAGAATTTAAGTAGGGATAAGGCGTACGTAGATTCCAAGTTTCTTTTGTGCTGGCAGCAAAACCCATTTACCCAATGCGAAATGGGTAAAATGAATTCTAAGAATATGGTTTTCTATGTATGGGGTCTTTCAATAACAAGTGAGCTTCTTCCTCGATTTACTTTCAGTGTCGCCTGCATAGAAGCAGCTTCGCTTTATCTGCAATTGGCGACCTTGGAGCTTACATGTGCCATATTTAAGTACATCCATTTGCCCGGCGTGCTGCACTCCTTCCGTGCCCCCAATTCGGCGATCTGCGACAACCCAAATTCGTTTGCCAAACACATTTCACCCACCGAAATGCCAAATGCAAAGCAGACAACCAGAAAGGCTGCGGTTGCCAAATTATATGCAACTGCGGTGGCATGGGCGTGGCATGCGGTTAGTTAAACAAAAGTGCTGTGCCATGGAAACTGGGTCAGAATCCTGGGAGCGAAACTGTCACAACGCCAGACGCATTAAAGCGACTAAATTACCTCGCTGCAAGAAAACCCAACCGGGAAAAAAAAACCAACAGCCAAAGTTCAACAACAGTGCTACAACCTGGGACATGCGACAACATTGTCTCAAAAACACTCGACAAAGTTTCGGTTTCACTTTGGTTGTTGTTGCCACCGATTTTTGCCGTTTTCGTTGCTGTCAACTTCCGGCGGACCAAACTGTTCCGCTTGATTGTTCTCGGTGCTCTCGAGCTCGAACTCGAACTCGAACTCGAGCTCCGGCTATGGCTCCGGTTCCCTCGTCATGAAAGGTTAATGACGGCTCCTGTCAGCGCCGAAGGTCACATCTAACGCTTGCCGCCCACCGCCGCCCACCGCCGCCCACAGGGTGGTGGTCCTTGCGGGGTCAAACGGGCAGCAGGTAAAAGTTTCGTTTCCCAGGACAAAAACTCGACGGAAGGACGGTGGGACCTGTGCTAAATACCAGGACTGCTGAGCGGCAGCTCCGGGGGGTAGCAGAGCGTAAAAGTTAAATGAAACGAAACACGTTAATGGCCTCCGCGCGGGATGGGTGGGGGAGGAGGATGAGGATGAGGATGAGGAGGAGGATGCGCCACCCTGAAAGGTGAGAGGCTGTCCTGTTAAAGCCATGCTCCGTGGAAAGTGAAATCGCCGGCTCGCCAAGCTGGCAGTGCTGGCCAAGAGCCGTGTAATAAAATGATATCGTTGGCTTAGTTAAGTAGCAATAAGCTGGAAAAGGTAGCCCGAAATTCGTTGGGCGCCACCTCTCAATCACGGCGTTTCAGGTTGATATTAAGTTATTTAGGCTATTTAGACGCCAAGTGAAGACCTCTTCGGCTTCTCGACTGGGTCATTAAAGCCAAATTACAGTATATTAGGTTACCGCTTTGTGTCGGCGTGGAAATTCGACTGGCTTTTCCCCACCTGCTCCCTCGCTGTCCAGGAATTCCACTACAACTAATAGTGCTGCTAATTAACAGCCTTGAAGCTGTGGACCTTGGAAGTTAGCCGTTAGCCAGCTTAAAGCCATTCGATTTCCCTCCTTGCACCAAAACTGGCGCCCAATTGTTAAAGCACACAAAGAAAACAGCGCCAAGAGGAGCCAGGACCAGCCAAAAAAAGAAAAAAAAATCAGAGGAAAAAAGTACAAAGAATTATGTATCACTTCGTTACGACTTACTTCCACTTAATTTATTTTCACTTGCTTTTAGCAGCAAAGGGCGAGCAAAGGAAAGCCGGGCGGATGGGCCGGCAACTTTGTCTGAGCCTCGGAAAATGAAAGAAGTCGAAAAGCAGAGGGAATTGTACATTATACAGTTGGTCAATAAAGTCTGCACACATCCAGGGCTTAAAAATGTTGATATATATTTCATTTAATGAGATACGGCGGTAAGATATGTCCACCGAAAAGTGCACAACACATGGCTCTGCCGATTGGAGTGTTCATTGGTTTTTAGTCTTTATTAATAGAGTGCAGCAGCTATTGAATAAAAGGTGCACCTTTTATATTGCAAAATAAATATGGAAAATATAGATTTTTGTAAGATAGATGTAAGTGAACTTAGTAAAGAGCTGTATTTATGTGAAGCTGCATTGTGGGAAACAAATGTTGAGTGCGTTTGCAGACTCACTTTGAGTGGTACTCAAACTTTGTATTCCCACTGTCCGATTTTGGCCGAAAGAAGAAGACCAGGCCCGCAGGCATTGGCCAAAACTTGCAACAACTTCGGACGGGCTTCCCGTCTGTCTGCGAAAAGCATTTGACTTTGCATTTGTCTGCGTCTGCAGGTTGCAACGCTTTCGGCCTTCACACCTTTTGTTGTCCAAATGCTACGGCTGCCCCCATTTCCATTTCCATTTCCCATTTGCCCCCGACCGTTTTCACCGCCTTTTCCACCGGCTTTGGGCTTCGGAAAACGCCTTTCGAGTGGCCGGCGCATTAATTCTCAGGTGTGCAATTTAGTGTGCGGCCAATTTTGGCCGGTCGGTCTGGACAGGAAGAGGAAGCCCAGCAGCGTCTGTTACGTGTTGACCACACGCTGGTGTTTTTTTTTTTTTGGTTTTTCGGGGGTTTTCCGAAGGGGTCCAGCCTTACGCCCCATTGGGGTAAGGAGGGTGAGCTTGAAATGTTAGGAAATTTCAAACGGAAGTTCGCGTTTTCTGCCCTTTGCGGCTCTTATTGTTGGCTGGGTTTCCGCTTCTCTGGTATTTTTGGCCTCACATTCTGCGATCCGTGCCCATTTCCGGCTAAAAACAACATGGCTTAAAGAGCTGCATGCCACACTTCTCACTCACGTCTTTAACCAAAACTTCGGAGGCGAACTTTACGCGAAACTTTTCAATGGACTACATTTGCTATGCCATGTTAAACAGCACAAAAAAAGAAGAAAAAAGATGACAGCGTAAAAGGTTAAGACGAGAACTATGGCCAGCAAAATGGCGCCGGCTATAATTTTGAGAGGACGACAAAAGCGGTGGAAAAAGGAAAAATAAATATATAAGGAGCGGGCAACTTGAAAAACTTTTAATAATTGCATTTTGCGCAAGCAGCAGCATCGACTTCAACTGGCTCACATAATAAACTCCCTCAACCACCACACACCGCCCACCACCCACCGCCCACCGCAAGGCCATCCAAAAGCGCCCATTGCTGCAGTTTGTGCATCGACACCCAAGCAACAAGACAATCAGCTAAGAGATACTCACGAGCCGGGGGAGAACAGGCGATGACTGGGCCACAAAAATAACCGAAAAGTAATTCCCCACAAAAGTAAACTTGAGCGTACAAAAGTCGAGTTTTAAAATAAACTTGCAGCCAGCTCTATTTTTCTTTCTATCCATCGGATCGCCAGGGGATCCGAGGATGGGGCATCTCTGGAGTTGGTTAGCGAATAGATAAAAGTCGTCGGCGGTGGCGGTGGCGGGGCGGGGCGGGGCTCGCCACTTGGGGCACAAAAGGCGCATTTTCCATGAAAGAAAAGTGGCTAACTAAGTCGCCGACTTGCAGCCCGCCCCCTCACCACCTCCCATCGACATCATCAGTGGCGCAGTTTCGAGGGCCTCGAGAGCTGCTCCTCCATCGATTTTTGTGGGCCAGAAAATATGGCTCTCAGTCGCTGGAACAGGAATTAAAGCCGCTCCGGAAAAACAATGGCAGCTGTCTTAGGGGATAAGTTGTGGGTGAATTACGGCTGCCTTGTGATCGAAATTAAGTATTACCATATTTTTTAAAGGTATTGCATTGTTTTTATAAACTAAGTTTGGTAGCTCAAACTCAATTTCCGAACTGGCTGTACTTGATATTCCATGTAAATCTCTTAAACAACGTGTTTCAGTGGCCTGCGGCTTACATTTAATGATGGCATTAAGTTTGAAGAGATTTTAGTAGCATCACGGTTGAGTACAGTCTGTGCCAAAGCAGCAGATTTAATATTATAATAAAAAGTGCGATAAAACAGCGTGGTTCTGGACTAATAACCTACAAGTGCCCATGAAACGGGTCAATAATCCACGGAATGTGGCAGATCATCATCTGATTTCATCAACACCCGACCCGACCCGACCCAAACCGACTCGGCCAGGACCCCATAATAATATGAGACCCACTTTATTAAATATGAAATATGCTCCATCGCTGCTGTCGCCTCGTATTCGCCATGGCCAAAGGAGTCGAGGGTCCTTTTAGCATGGCCAGCACGTAGC